GGTGGCGGCAACAGCCCCTTCGCAGCTTCAAAGGCGTGTCCCCTATTTGCCTGCCCCCCCCCCCACACTGCCTCTGAATTAATTTTTTTAAATGGAAAAGAAAGGGAGGAAGATAGTAACAAAAAAATGATGATTAAGGTGTGTTATTTACCTGCATGGATTAAAAAAAATACCTTTAGTAGACCAGTGCAAATGCTATGAGAACCACTTAAGGTTTGACACTTACTGCTCCTGGATTAGCAACCAAATTGTCATGTTCAGGATATTGTGAACTGCAAGGTGAGCATTAGGGTGTGATGCATTACAGCTGCTAATAAGCGCCTTTCATTAGGAGGAGAGAGATTAAATGGAAAGGGGTAGAAAGAAAGATGAGGTTTGGAGATGACATGACAGGTGGTATTTATACTTTTTATAATTTAAAGATGATTTTCTAATGTGCCTTATTTTCTGGAAAATACTTTTTAATTCAACCCTCTGACAGCAACCGCTTTGAGGTTCCATTTTTCCCAAATTGCTCGTGTGAACAGAGATAGTACACCTTCGATGTACAATTTTTATTGTTGGCATAGCCTAATTTGTATTGCTAAGCAATAGTCAGCAATGGCTATCCTTTGCTAGTTCATACTGCATTCTCCTCCAAGAGTGCTGATGTCATAATTTAGGATTCAAAATCTGTCTCCAAAAGCATGTCAGCGAGTATAGAACAAGTGATAGCTTTTTACATTTTGTGTGATATTTGCCTGTTGTTCATTTGTAGGCTTTAGACTGTTAAATGTTGTTTCATTTCTGAGAAGAACTGTTAGAATACTTATCCTGAGAATGTTTCACCTTGAAAATCTTATTGTGTTATGATAGGGTCACAATGAAATGAGATGTTTCTTAATATAAATGAGATTAGGACATACTAACTTTACATGTAAACTATTTTAGTAATGAATAGAGTAAATATGTAGATGGAGGAATTTTAAGACTAGAGTAGATCATTATATTTATTTAGTTTTACCTGCATAAAACCAGGTTATAGAATTTTACCCAGTAAAGTCTTCAGCTTGTGCCTAGAAGATCTATATTGGTAGCATAGGTTATTTAAAAAAAATAAATTGGGGATTTTTGTTAATGAAAACCTTTAATCCACTTCTATATCTGCAGAAGAATGGGTCACTTGCTTAGAAATACTTTTTAAAAACAGAGGAAGGTGGCTATAATTATAAACATGTGCTCCCAGCTCAGCAACTGTTCCTTTCATTTCCCTAATTTTTACTTTGTTTTCATCAGCAACAAGTTTTGCCCATATTCTTGGGCAAAATGCCGCAGATAACCATTGCAGATGTATCTTCTGATTCTTTGGGACTCAAGCCCAATATGGACGGGGCAGATACTTCTACTATACAGTACTAAGTATCTCCTGCCTTATTAAGAGTCTCATGAGAAATCTCTATAGAAATTATGCTGAATCACAGGTTACACATGGGAAAGATCTATCAGATCATTCAGTTTCTGTCCTTGACGGGACAGGGAGAAGTCCTTTATAATATACTTTGATCTGTCTGGTTTCAGAAGTTCAAGGCAATGAGTCTTTCTCCTTGTTCCTTGGGGAAATTATTCCCCAGCTAACAGATCTCACTGTCAGGATATTTTCCTGATATTCAACCTTCGTTTTCCTTAACTTCATCTTATTACATCTGTAATAGTTTGTAATAATAATGTAGTAAAAACAATACAACAACACTGTTCATAGTAAAAAGAGTCTAACTTAAGTTATTTTTGGGAAAAACTGAAGAAGTACAGGGGAAAGCTGGGCTTCCTGATGAAAAGATCAGAATGGAGGAATATCTAAAAATTTGAATTATTGTTCATTGTGTCTCTCAGTTGTGAAACTTATAGAAAAACATATGCATATTATGCTTCTATTGCGTATTTTATCTAAGGACCTGAAAATACTTTAGCATCAGCTAATACCTTCAGTGTCCTTGTGAAGGGGTGATAATTTCATTTTACAGATGGGAAATTTGAGACGCAGAGAGGTTAGGTTTCTTGACTATGCACTTACAGTAGAAGAATCAAATAGAACAAGGTTCCTCACTGTGTTCTGTGCCCTAATCACTAAGTGACATATATTAATATCACTTTATTTTGCATTTGTAGGAAATTTGTCCAGTCTAAGTCGTCTTGGCCTAAGGTACAATAGACTGTCGGCAATCCCCAAGTCTTTAGCCAAATGTAGTGAACTTGATGAACTGAATTTGGAGAACAACAACATTTCCACTTTACCAGAGGTGAGAGGCACAAGTTGCTCACTTTGGGGGAAATATTGTAATAGGTTGTGGTTTTTTTTAGTTTTGTGATTTACACCAGAATATTGCAGATTGATCTTCTGTCAAAAGCTTTAAGGAATGAGCCTCATTTTAACCTGTGGGGAGGGTGTGTGGGGCAAAAGGGGGTATAACATTGGTCTATAAATCCATCCAGGTTGCCAAAGTGACATGCATATCTAACCAGTTGGACAGTAATTCAAAGGACAAATTATAAGGCAACAAGATAGATACTCATTGTATCAATTTTCTAAATGCTCTTATGACACAATTAAACAAGGAAGCTGGATGTTAAAGCCCTGAACAGATACAAAATTTGTTTCTGCATCCACATCTGAGCTGCAAAACTGAGCTGTGGATGTGGATGCGCACTGATAGAAATTGAATAGCCACAGATTTGCAGGGTTCTAGGTACAAAATTTGTACCTGTAGAAATGAGCCACTGATATCTGCCGGTTTGCAGTTGCTGAGGGGGAAAGGAAATAGAAAACTAAGAATTAGAGGGATCTTTCTGCCCTCTTCTCAACTGAAACAGGATTGCTTTGTTTTGATAAACAAGCAGTCAGAAAGTCCCCAGAAAGTACAATATTTGTTGTAGCTGCTTAAACATTTCCAGCATGATGTAATGTAGGAGATTGAAATTTACAGTATTGCGCTACCAATGTAGTACATCTCTCAGTTGGGTGGTGCACCACCCACTAGCTGTGGAATCCTGTGGTGTTTAGGACTATGCAGCTCTCTTGCACCCTGCCTTTGTTACTGCACTTGCTAGTCCTATGCTAATCGCTGTTGCATCACCAGTGACAGGATATTCCACCCTCCTCAACCCTGTAGAACTAGTAAGAGTTTTAGGGTTTATGATAAAAGCACAGAGTTTTTTCTTTGCTTTATATATTAGTGATCCAAACATAATACTCTTCTGTTTAGTCTGCCTAATCTAGTCTCCAAGAACTCATCTAAAATGAAATTGCAAATATCATATACTTAAAACCTACCTAAACCAGATGAGAAAAGAGAGAACATGTATACAGAAAAGATGTTACATTTTGGTTATCTAACTAATTGTGTAGTCAATACAATTTGTATTGACTACGACTCGTCGATAAGGACTGCTACTCAGAGCTGCAGCGGGGGGTAGCTCTTGGAGCCGGCTTGACCTGGGACTAAGCAGTCCCGCCTCATGCCAGCTCTGGGAGCCACCCGTGCCACAGCTCTGCCTTTTAAATGTAGCAAGAGCCGCCGAGCTTTTACTACATTTAAAATGCAGAGGTGCAGCATCCCAGACAAGTGCAAGCTGGGACTACTCGGTCCTGGCTCACGCTGAGTGCGGCAGCTCTTGTTCGCAGTGGCCAGGTGAACAGGGGCTGCTGCCGGAGCTGCCTCTTTGTGGCATACAGAGCTAGCTGCAGTCACGCTGCCTCCCCCGCGGGCGC